GAAGAATACATTGGATGTCTCTTCTATTACAAGTTACTTTACTGCATTAACATCTTTTGAGTAGCTATTTGATTTCCTGCTGCTCCGCAACCATGTCATAATTCTGGAAATCTTCTGGAAGTGATGTATTGTTTTAAAGAAGAAGCATTTCGTTTAGAACATAGGCGATGCTTGTTCGTATGAGTATCCCTTGTTCCACAACATTGACATTGACTCTTAACATCTGCTTTCTGGACTGTTCTCCACTCTGAAACAAAAACAGAAATTACTGGAAAAGCTCAGCAGGTCTGGCAGCATCGGTGAAGAGAAATCAGAGTTAAGAACTGGTTCTAAGTACTGAGGAAGGGTCACCGGACCCAAAACATTAACTCTCTGCTTTCTCTTCATAGATGCTGCCAGACCTTTTAAGCTTTTTCCAACAATTTCTGTTTTTGTTTCTGATTTATACAGCATCTGTAGTTCTTTGTTTTTTATTCTCTACTCTGACTCCTTTGCGTGTGTTTATAGGATTTTTATACATCTTCAACTGAATTGATTTGTGTTGCTTCTCATTCCTGCTTCACTCACCAATGAATGACCTTGGAGAGAATCAAATTTTCTTTGGACTGGAATAAATTTATTCATCAGCAACTCTTAACAATAATCCTGGCTTTGGCATATTCAATCTGTACAAGTCCAATCTGTAGTGATCATTAATGAAATTAACTGTGGGTTCCTGTGAATGCTTAACTTTTCTGTTATTTCTTGTTCTTCAACAGTTTTATTTGTCCTTATTAAAGTAATTCTCAAAAGTTTGTAGAACTTAATTAAAACTACCTGTGCATTCTTTGCCTTGACAAGATACAGGTCTAATCAAATTCAGAACTTGTTCGGCTTCTCATTTAGCATCTAGTTTAGATGCAGTCCTGTATTTAAGAACTTTTTTTTTCCTAAAATGTCCAATTCTGCATTTTATTTGCCCATCTCTGAAATTAAATTGTCTTGGCAATATTATTTCTCCTTCCGTTTCTTCGTTAGTGACTACTTATTATTCTTCTGTTGAAACTTTTTTTTCTGTTCTGCACTGTTGCAAAGCTGCATTACTTATGTCACTTTAATCCTGCAGTTTATCAATGCTCCCTCAATCTCTTTGGAAAGACTTTTTTAAACAGCTGTTTAAACTGTTTTAATTTCCTTCCCTTTGGGAATATTATCTATACGTGAGAAATCTGAACAGGAGTAGGTTGTTTAGCCCCTTGTGTCTCCTCTGCCATTCGATAGGATCATGGCTGATCCAATATTCCTTACATCCTGCTTTTTTTCCCCGTAACCCTTGATCCCTCTACTGAACAAGAATCTATCTATCTCAGAATTAAATATACACAAGGACGTTGCCCCCACAGCTTTCTGTGGCAAAGAGTTTTAAAGACTCCCAATCCTCTCAGATGAAATTTCTCCTTAAGTCAGAATAAAGGGAACCAATTTAATACTGAGACTATGCCCTCTGGCCCTAGACTCTCCCATGAAGGGAAACATCCTCACAGCAGTTGCCCTGTCAAGCCCCTCAAGAATCCTGAGTGTTTCAATGAGACCACCTCTTATTCTTCTAAACTCCAGTGAGTTGAGCCCTAACCTGTTTAACGTTTGCTCATAAAACAATCCCTTTATACTTGGGGTCATCCTAGTGACCAGTATAGAAATGCTTCCCTGTACCCTGTGGAGTGTTGGTCCATACCATATTTGTCTTGCCTAGTATTGGGAGTGATTTCAGAAGTTTGGAGAATTGCAAACATTACTCCCTTATTCAAAAAGATCAGCCCACTAATACAGACCCGTTAGTTTAACTTCAGTGGTGGGGAAACTTCAAGAAACAATTATTTGGGATAGAATTTATAGTCATGTGAGGGGGAAAAGTGGTGAGTGGATCAGGAAGAGTAGGCATGGATTCCTAAAGGGGAAATCATAGTTTACTGACTTGCTGGAGTTTTCTGATGAGTTCACTAGAAGTGTCATTGAGGGTAATGCTTTTGATTTGGTGTAACTGGATTCCCAGAAGATGTTTCATATTGTGCCAGATGACAGACCTGTGAGAAAAGTTGTAGATTGTAGAATACAAGGGTGTACAGTTGAAACACAGAAACAAGATTGTTGAGTGATAGGCAGAAGTGAATAATGGTTAATTACGGCTTGAGGCAGAGGAAATTTCATTGTGAAGTTCCCAAAATATCAATATTTGTGACCTTTGCTTTCCGTAATATATGTAAATTGTCCAGATCTTGGTGTGATGGGGAGAATTCCAAAATCTGAGGACAACACAAAATTTGGGAGAATTTTAAACTGTAGAGGACAATGTAAAACTTCAAAACTAGGTGTAGTGGGCAGGTAGGTGACAGATGAGGTTCAATGTGGGGGAGTATGAGACGATGCATTTGGTACAAAGAACATAGTGAGATAAAGGATGATATTCCAAAGAGTGTGCAGGAGAAGAGGAACCTGGGTGTATGTGTACATAAGCTATTGTAGGTAGCAGGACAGTTACAGAGAGGTGTTAATAAAGCATGCATTATTCTCGGCTTCATTATTAGGGGCATAGAGTACAAGAGCAGGGAGGTTATACTAACCCTATGAAGGACGCTGGTTAAACCTTCCCAGAGTAATGCATAAAGATCTGAGCTCCACACTTCACGAAAGATATGAATGCGTTGGAGTGCAGAAAAGGTTTACAAGACTTCTTCCAGAGATGAAGAAAGATTGGAGAAGTTGGAGCTGTTTTCCTTGGAGAAGAGCAATTTGATAGATTATCAATCATACCCTGATGATTTTGTAAACTGAAGGCACAGTTCTTAAATATTTCATGAAAGGAGCAAATGGCAAGTGAGAAAAATGTGTGCACACAGTGAGTAGTTGGGATGTGGAATGTATTGCTTGGAAGTGTGTTGGGAGCGGGTTCAATTCAGGCATTCAAGAGAGCACTGGAAAATTGTTTTTATTTACATAATGTACAGGGTTATGGGTATATGGAAGGATATTAGTATTAAGTTATAGTACTCGGAGAAACAGTGAAGACACAGTGGAACAAATGGCTGCCTTCTGCACCATAACCATTCCATGATCTGTGAAACTTTTTCATGGATTTGTCACCTTGAAGTCCAACTACTCCAATTCATCCAAGACTGGCCTCCCACATCCTCAAACGTGAAGTCTTTTAAATGCTGCCAGCAAGTTTGGTTCACGCATTACCTCTTACATAATTACTTGCTTACTGACCTAAATTAGTCTTTGGTTAGGCTTCAGTTTTAAAATTCTTAAGTTTTATTGAATTTGCTGCATGACATTGATCCATCCGATCGGTGTAAATGCTCTAGTCCCACAACTCGGAGGCATAAATCAGAATGAAGTATCTCAGATTTCAGTTTCTCCAATACTGGTGACTGGTGACCTTGGATCTGAGCACTGGATTTATGATCACTTGGATAGGCACGGTTTGATTTGTGATAGTCAGCATGGATTTGTGAGGAGTAGATCATGCCTCACAAACCTTATTGAATTCTTTGAAGAGGTGACCAAACACGTGGATGGAGGTAGAGCAGTGGATGTGGTATATGTGGATTTAAGTAAGGCGTTTGATAAAGTTCCCCATGGTAGGCTCATGCAGAAAGTAGGGAGGCATGGGATAGGGGGAAATGTGGCAGACTGGATTCAGAATTGGCTGACCCTTA